GCTAGAGAAGTTGGTAATGCAGAAATGCCGACAGACACAGAAATTTTTAAAAATCTCCAACAAAGACTTACTTTTTCTAGCCAAAGGATCAGCAAAGGGCCAGCCTAGGAAGAGAGAAAAATAAAAAATAATGACAATGCCAAATGCTGGCAAGACTGCAGAGAAACTGGATCACTCACACATTGGATTTTCATTATGTGTGGTTTCATGTGTATTTATACTGCTTGGGGTTTGTTGTACCTCTTGAAACTGTGGATTAATGTCTTTAGTCAGTTTTGGAAAATTCTCCTCCTGTGTTTTGCCAGTCTCCAGTAATTTTATTTTTATTTTTTATTTTTTTATTTTTTTTGAGACAGAGTCTCGCTTTGTTGCTCAGGCTAGAGTGAGTGCCGTGGCATCAGCCTAGCTCCCAGCAACTTCAGACTCCTGGGCTCAAGCAATCCTGCTGCCTCAGCCTCCTGAGTAGCTGGGACTACAGGCATGCGCCACCATGCCCGGCTAATTTTTTCTATATATATTAGTTGGTCAATTAATTTCTTTCTATTTTTATAGTAGAGACAGGGTCTCGCTCTTGCTCAGGCTGGTTTCGAACTCCTGACCTTGAGCGATCCACCCGCCTTGGCCTCCCAGAGTGTTAGGATTACAGGCGTGAGCCACCACACCCAGCCAAGTACAAAGCCTTAAGGAGACCAGCAGTGCAGATAGAATGGGCTTTGGAGCAAAACAAATCTGATTTGAACCCTCTACTCTTTCCTAGCTGTGTGATGTTCAGCAAGTTACTTAAATTCCCTGAGTCTGTCTTTTTATTTGTAAAATGGAAACACAAATAATACTTAACTCAGATTGTTTCAAAGATTAAGTGAAATAGTGCAGATAAAGGGTTGATAAGGAACTGCTGAATGAATGGCAATTGTATCCTCTTTCCCCCACCATCATCTGAGAACAACCCCCCTCATGTTCCCTTGTCTCAAGCAGACAAAGCATGACTGTTTTTTTTAGCAGTAAGGGGCATTCTCACAGAGATAAATGCATGAGGGCAAGAAGCATTCTCGAAGAAGAGTGTTTTATGAAAGAATAAATGCAATGTTGAGTGTCAGAAAAATTTTAAGGTAAAAATAACTAAAGAAGCTGTCAAGAATTTTCTCCCTTGAAGAAATTAGAATTTTAGACTGAGATAGGGGAGAGAGAGGATAAAGGCAGGATGGGAAAGAAAGGACGGGGTCAGGCTGACAAGCCTATGAGATACTAGCGGTGGCAGTGTGGTGGCCATTCAGAGATTCCAGTGCTAGGAATGCAGGAACTGAATCTCCCACCGGGAGGAAGGTATGGATCTATATATGAATCAGAGACCTGTGTTCCTATAAGTGTAAATCTGGAGGACTCATTCAAGTTTCCTGATTTGCAAATTGGTGATAAAATCAATATCACTGCGCTGGTGTAAAAACACAGCATGATGTGGCTATGTAAGTGCTTTGTTAACTAAAGGCCAGTATCATACTAGAGTGACAGTTCTCTTAATAAGTTGTGGCTGGTGGCTGGTAGAATATGTGGAAGCAGGCTGGGGAAGGACCTGGCTTGAACGTAAGCAGAAACATGAAGGAGAGATTAGTTAGGGAAATTGCCCAGATAGATAGAAAAATAATATGTGGAGATATAAAAAGAAGAGAGAAAAAATGTGAGGGGAGAAGAGAATGGAGGTATCCTAGTACATCAAACAGAATTGGTGATTGCTAAGTAGCTGTCTGAACCATTTGGAGAAGTTCATTTTCTGGTTGTAATTCCCAGCAAAGGAGAAGATTGAACAATGGAGAAGACAATTTCTTTTTCTGATTAGGCTCATCAGATCAGGCAATGACATACATGAAAGAGGCTCTTTCTCTCTGTGCATAAAAGATTGGGTCTGTATTTTTATAAAAGCCACTTATGCAATGTGCACCATGGGAGAGTTGGTTGATGTGAGACGAATGGACAATATGAGGCATTTCTAGTGACTTTCCATAATATGGACAAAGAAATTCAAAATGTTAAATATATTTACAAGAAGTAGAAAAAACTTTAGTCAATTTTTTTGAAATATTAAATTCTACGGAATCAGTTTATTAGAATCTGTGGCCTCTTAACCCATCTCTGTCTATACCCCATCTCCTTTTTGACCTCATTTCAGGAAATATTACACTGTCTGACTTGTTATTAATATTATCTTATTCTGAGACAGAAAAAGGAAACTACCCCTTTTCAGAATCATATTTGAGTCATTTGTGAAATTGCATATTACAATTTGTCACCATTTCTAACAGTTCTTTAACATTTTATTTCTCAACTGGGTATTCACACTCATTTCTTTTCTAGCTCAAGAGAGAATTGCTTCAATCAGAATTAGGGGTAAGGACAGAAGTGTATATTCTTCATATTTGGTTTCAGATGGCTGGAAAATTAGAAACTCAAGATATGCAAGAGATTTGTGTGGAATTTAAGTAACTTCAAGGAGCAATAGACAAGAGAAAAAGTTATTTTACCTGTCTGTTTAAAAATATCAAAGACCAAGACGGAGACAAGTGAGGGTAACTTATGAAGAGTCGGCTGCAGATAGGTGCTGGTTGCCCAGGTGGTTCATTTAAACTTCAGGTCAGAGTAACCTCATCCTGTGATCTGGGCGCCCGGGTCTCAGGTTAGTTCCACCTTGCTGCTTATGTTCTTGGTCACTTTACTGGGGGCTCCAGCCAAACACAGATCAGTAAAGAATAAGTTATATAAATATGCTCACAGGTGGTCATGCCTGGACAAGAACTTTTCAAAACTTCATTCAACAATATCTGGGCTCTACAGGACAGACCTGCCTGAGCTTATGAAAAAAAAATTAAAAAGCAGCACAAGGCAACAGGGAAAAAGCATGGCATTAGCAGGTAGGTGGACAAAATTGGGTTGGAACTTTCACTCTGCCACATGCACATGGTGACCTTACAAAAGAAATGTCATCTTGCTGAGCCTCAGTTTCCTTATCTGTAAAACAGGGATATTTCTAGGAAATTTTATGAGGATTACTAAAAATGAACCAACCTAAGCCAGCCTACATACTATGATGTCTGGGGTAGAAAGATGCTCAATAAATATTAGGTTAATTTTCATTTCCTCAAAAGACATGATCCTATAGAGCTATAGCCAAGTTCAACTTTTTTTTTTCTTTTCTTTTTTATTCCAAAGAATTTCGGGTGTACAAGTGTTTTTTGTTACGTGCATTAATTGTATCGTGCTGCAGTCATGGCTTTCAGTGTACCTGTCACCAGAATAGTGTACACTGTAATCAATAGGTAAGATTTTTATCCCTCACCCCTCCCGCCCTTCCCCCTTCTTAGTTTCCAGTGTCCATGACTGCTCTTTATGACCATATATATCTTTTGTTTAGCTCCTACTTATAAGTAAGAACGTGAGGTATCTGCTTTTCCATTCCTGAGATACTTTACTAAGGATAATTTTCTCCAGTTCTATCCACCAAATTCAACTTTCAAATGTGAAATCACAGTTTCTGAACTCTGATTTATGCTCAGTTGAGATAGCCTCTGACATACCCGCCTTGGTAATCCCATCTTTCTCAACCATCACCACCAAATAAAGGCTTTACCATAGGTACAATAAGTCTTTCCCTTCTTTCATTAATTCCATAAGTTTAGGGTTTTATCTCTCAGATCCTCTTAAAACAGACCAATTTATACCCGTGTAGTAGGAGGAACAAGCCTGTTCCTATCATACTCTGAAGCAGGTAAGAGCATCCCAGGACACAAATCCTCCCACTTGGCCCCGGGCTCAGAGAAGAGTGAGCAACAATCTCATGACATCCTTCTAGTCATTTGTAGGGTTCTTTCCTCCCTTCCACTTTTTCATATCAGCTTTTGCTTTCTTGTCTTTGACGGAGTTTTGTTTGTCTTACCTCTTGGTAGTTTCCTTCCCACAGAAAATTCTCCTCCCACCCCTTCCCTCTGATCTAAGTTGAAGCCTTCAGCAAGTGTTTGTTGTTGTACTAGGTGGGTGCTATGGGGCCAAGAGGGATGCTAGACACACAGGTGTGCCCTGTCCAATTGCAGTGCAGGCCGTGTTGACAGGTGAGAGAAGGGCTGGGCTGATGTGCTCTTCACATTGCTCAGCTCTCAGCTTTAGGGTGGGTAAGACTTCACTAGATAGAGAAAGGGTGGGGTGAGAGGGTGAAGAAGGTGCACCTTGATAGAGAGGCTTTCCTTCCTCCTCAGAGCAAAATGTACCCATCCTACATGCACTTCCTTTGCTTTCACAGGTGGTGTCTAGCTCATCCTACAAGCTCATCTTGTTAGCATAATAAATGCTGGTAAATTAATAATACCCATCATATATAACATGATTGAATTTTAACAATCCAATAGTTTATCCCTAAACGATGACTTAATGGTGAGGGTATCAGTCACTGTTGTAGAATATTTTGGGAGAGGCAGACCTTTTGATGTCATACCAGGTGGGTGCTTCCTTAGGCAGGTCATGGGCGAGGTGGAAATGAGACTGGGACCCTGACGAGTATAGGTACCTCCTCAATATTGGGTCTCAGGGTTTTTTGGCCTGGCCATTGGTATTGTCTCAGGAATCCTTTCCTAGTTTTGAGCAGGGTTCAGAGTTGAGGTAGAGTTGGAATAATCACCCTCCCAACTCTGCATTAAACCAGGCAAAGATTCTATCCCCGGGTACCATCTTTTTTGGTGGACAGGGTGAGTCAGAAGGAAATTTACTCACTCCCATTCATTCTCTGCTTATTATTTCCTGCAGTAGGTTTTCTTGTATGATAAACAGCTACTGTGGGTGTTTCAGGGTCTCTAGAAAGAGAACATGCTGTTCCTGTGAGTAGAATGCCTTCTGAAGGAAGCATCACAGCAAACACAGAGCTCTACTTCCTAGAATGAGAAGCTGGCCTCACAGGAGTTTGTCTGCAGAAGGCACAGTGCTCTGCATAGAGCAGACACTGAAGCCATCTTCATTTGTGACTACTGCAGGCACGGGTGGGGAGCTAACCAGGACCTTAGGCTCTCTTCTGGATTCAAGTCTCAGGCACCTATGGGTCATGTGGCTTTAGGTAGGTCACCTAACCTTCCTGAACATCCATATTCTCAACCATAAAATGGGGATCATTGATGATAGAATTTACCTCACAGGCTTGTTTATAAAATGAGATAATAATATACATAGAAAGTGGGGCATGGTTAAATGCTATGAGGTTCCTTTCTTACCGTGTGGCTTCAGGTAGCTGATATATGCTCTGTGAGCCTCAATTTCCTCATCTGAAAAGTGGGTCAGTATTATTTATCTCACAGAGGTGGTGTGAGGATTAAATGAGATGCTAGGCAAGGGCTTAGCATGGGTGGCACGAGGTAGATACTTGAGCAATGTCTGTTTTCTCCACCCTTACACCATCTTTGGCTGTTGGCTCAAGGATGAAATTCCTCATGATGGTTTTCATTCCACAGATAGCTTGTTAACGAGCAAGTACCATCACATGGAGCTGATTGTCTTAAACCACCATTTAAAATCTACCCCTAAAGGTGGGAAGGAGGAAGGACTGTATGGATACTGGAGAGACACCCGGGAGAGGAAACAGGAAAGCTGAGGTTGGCAAACATGAACATCTTCTGTGCTTCAGTGCTTCACCAGGTGGGTGTCAGCAGCTACAGTCTCCTTTCCAAACTAACTTCTCTGCCTCAGGGATCAGGAAACTCTGCCTCACAGCGTAAGAGAAACCAGGATTCAGCCTTAATGAAAACTGGACTTGGTGGGCCAGTAAAGACTTTTAATAACCACTGTTTATAGTTTATGAAGTTGGGGCTTCTCTGTATTTGAAGGCCGTCTTCACTACCTGTGACCTCACTCTTACAAACCCAGAGCACAGTAAAGATCCTTTAGGCTGTTTTTGGCTAAACCCCAAACAGCTGAGGGTGGCCCTGTAAAACGTTCTCTCCAAATGCCTGCTTGGTTTTCCTCTGTTAGAGACCTAGATCACAACCCATCAAGAACCACGTCCCTTATGCCATGTGAGTGGATGGTCTGATAATGAGGCACAAATGTGACACGGGGACTCACAATGGCCTGTGGGGCACATGCTGCTTACAATTTTCGCCATCAGTAGCTGCCTTAAAATCAGTTGCTTCTCAGTGACTGTCGTATGGTTCCAGTCTTCACACAGCTACTTCTGGGTGGGCAAGCAGGGCAGGCTGTCATGCTGGGGGAATGGGGGCGGCCACCCCGAGCAGTGGGGCGGGCAGGGGCGCTGCGGCAGCACAGGCACAGGTTTCTCAGGTGCTACTTCCAGTAGGTGAGTTTGAGGAGGTACCTGGGGTTTTTGAGCTAACGGGAAAGGCCTTCCCAGCCAGCCCTGGAGAGCTGAGAACCCAGGCCCTCCACCTCCAGTCCGTGGCTTTGCCCCTCCAGGGCAGGAGGTTACGTTTGCTGCTGGGGTTTGGCAAACCCAAAGCCTCTGTAGTTTCACCACTAGATTCTCAGAGTCAGACTTCTGTGTTTAATGACCCGGGCCAGGGTCTAGGGGTCCCCAGACCCGCATCAGTTTGAGCATCACCTGGGACCTGATTGGAAATGCACATTCTCAGGCCTTACCTGCGACCTCCTAAATCTGAGACTGCGGGGGTAAGGGGAGAGCCACTCGCGCTTCACTCCCCTGTGGGTGGCTGTGGGGCGCTCCCCATTGCAAGCCCCCGCCCTGGAGTACCCTTCCCTCCGCCCCGGCCCGCGCTCCCCCCCCCTTGGGGGGGGCAGGGCAGGCGCGGCGTCCTGCTGGGATCGCCGCTGGGCTCGTGGCTCCGTGGTCACGTGGGCTGCTCAACTAGCCTCCAACCCCCTTCCCGTTTTTTATTTTTATTACTATTTTTTAATATTATAGAGACAGGGTCTCACTCTTGCTCAGGCTGGTCTCGAACTCCCGACCTCAAGTGACCCTCCTGCCTCGGCCTCCCAGCGCGCTAAGATCCCAGGTGTGAGCCCCCGTGCCCGCCCCCGCCTACTCTTTAAAAGGAAGAGGAGGCTGAGCGCTAGGTCGCCGGCGAGCTCCGCAGCCCCTGCAGCTGCGGCCCGGGCGCCCCTGGAAGCTGGCGGGCGGGCGGGCGGCGCTGGGGTCCGGCTGCGCGGGCACGGCGGGCCGCGGGCTGGGGCACGCGCGGCCGGGGCGCTTACCTGTGAGGTGAGCCCCTTCGCTCGGCGTCCGATTCGTCTCATTCTCTGTTTGAAATCCTGAGAAACCCGCACTACTGAGGAAAAATAAAAGACCGACAAACCAAAACCAGAACCCAACGGTCTGGAGAACTCCGCGAAACACAAAATTCATGCCGATTGAATGCCCTCAGTGGAGACGCGGGTAAGCGGGCGAGTTTGTGCTGTGAGCTCTGGGTGGTTGTGCTGAACTAACGTGTCCTTTGAACACCGCCACAGGGTTCCTCTGTGGGTTCCCCTGGGAGGGTGGAATGACAGCGGAGTCGAGCACGACGCCCTGCGGTTGAGTCTGTGGGCCTGGGAGGGCGCGCGCGTCTCGGGCAGGGGCCAGGGCTGTAGGACGTATTCGCTGGCTTTCCTGAGCCGGTCGAAAGCAGGGTCGCTTCTTCCCTGGGCGGCCACCGAGCTCGGAAGCATCTGGCCTCCTTCACGTGCTGCTCTTCCCCCTTGGCTATCCGCGGTGCCTAATTCTTACTGGAAGTATGGAAATTAAGTCAAGTGAATACTCTTGTCAAAAACAAAACTTCATACTTCAATGAGCTTCTGTTTAGGAAAAAAATAATTCACTTTTGCTTCTTCTAAAGCATGTGTGTGCTTTGGTGTGGTATATAGCAGTTTGGAGGAAAGATTTTTATCTTATTTTGTTATAATTTCTAGTGTTTACCTGGGCATTCCATTAGAAACTTTTACTGTAAGTTTCAAAGCTCACAGTGGCTATTATCCTTTGTGTGCGGGAAGGGTGTTTGTTATTTAAAAAGTGAACATGTGGAAAGGAGGGTTTTTAACTGTGCTGTAAAAAGGAAATGTACAGTGATTATGAAAGAACATGATTCACTTCTTTGAATCCTGTTTTTTTTTCTGAAGAAGATTTATGTTTCTACGTACATGCTAGAAGAGGGAATGTTCAGTAGGTGTGGTAAGGATTTGTTCAATAGGAGTAAGTGCATAAATCTTAGGATTCCATTTTACATTCAAGCATTTTTGAGATGAATTTCTGAAACATTTTTATTTCAAAAGCAGTCAGTCTCTTGTAACACTTGTCTTGCTCAAGACATGTAAGTATCTGAAATCAATTAACACTACCCATTTCATAGTGGTTCTGAAGGACTTGAATGAATCTAATTAATCACTTTTACATTTCTCAAAATTTATTTGTAATACAGAAAAGATAAAATTTAGTAGTAAATTCAACCCATAAAATAATTAACATTTAATAGATACTGATATATGTTCATTTTTAAGAATAAGACACTGCAATTTTCTATAAATGTGTATCCAACATGTAACGATTCAAAATATATTGTGATAATTTTAGTTGTTTTAAGTCACTTTATAGAACATATATAAAAGAATAATGATATAAAATACTGAAGGTTAAACTTGAATCATTTACTGGTAAGTTGTTAATACATCTAGAACTCTTGAGAATTGGATGCTCAAATGTTGGATTTCATAATTCAGTGTCTAGCACATTGTTTATATGTAATGGAATTTTTAAAAAATCAAGCTTACTACGGTATACCTCACATACTGTAAAATGTTGCCTCTTTGGCTTTGCCACTCTATGAATTCTGCCAGATGCACACAGTTTTATAACCAGCATCACAGTCAAGACATAGAACGGTTCCTTCACTCCAAAAGCCCACTTTGTACCTCTTTGTAGTCAGTCGTCTCCACTTACCTCCCATCCCTGAAAATCACTGCTCTGTTTGCTGGTTTTATAGTTTTGCTCTTCAGTATGTTTTTAACTTAGAAATAATTGCCTCCCTTCACATTTCTGGAAAGAAAAACCTCAGTTTCCCATTTTTAATAGTATGAGTCAGGTTGTGGTATTTTTGTTTTAATCCTATATACTTTGGGATAAATTGAAGCAAAGACAAAGCCATTTGCAAATGGGAAACTAGAGCCTTGGACTAAGCATTTAACTCATATTGGGCTAATAGAGTTGGTTCTTAGCAGATTTAGATTCCATTGTGGTTTAGGGCTTTGGTTATGATGAGTATTGCTAGTTACCCTGAACTAAAATACAAGACCATTAAAAATGGTTATTTATATAATATTAATAGAGTATACTGTTCTGTTGTAATCCTAGCATTCAACTATTAATAAAACTATTTTTTATTATACTTAGAATTAAGAAATCTACCTAAAATTACATATTATTATCAAATAGTAAGGAGCAAAAGAGAGGATGAAAATGACAATTTGAAGACATTTAAAACAGAGTGATTGTGATTGATTGCTTATGTTAAAATGCTCACCTTCATGGGGGCTAAGGTCTGTTCTCAACTTATTTGTAGATGTCAGGATTTTTTTATTTCTATGCTCATGCTTTGAAATCTAGATTTTCCTGCAGGTTGTAGGTGCAAAATCTTTTGTAAAATAATATATATGCACATATATTTTATGACATAATACATTATTCAATTCAATAAACAGGAGCAAAAACAGGAGCCTATTATTGGTAGTCACTGCTAATAGAGATATTTAAGACTGATGTCTTTTTCCTTTTCCTTTGTGCTATGAAAAACAAGAGCCTGTATTTATTTATTTATTTTTTTTTGAGACAGAGTCTCGCTTTGTTGCCCAGGCTAGAGTGAGTGCCATGGCGTCAGCCTAGCTCACAGCAATCTCAAACTCCTGGGCTCAAGCAATCCTGCTGCCTCACCCTCCCAAGTAGCTGGGACTACAGGCATGCACCACCATGCCTGGCTAATTTTTTCTATGTATATTAGTTGGCCAATTAATTTCTTTGTATTTATAGTAGAGACAGGAGTCTCACTCTTGCTCAGGCTGGTTTCAAACTCCTGACCTCGAGCAATCCGCCCACCTCGGCCTCCCAGAGAGCTAGGATTACAGGCGTGAGCCATCTCGCCCAGCCAAGAGCCTGTATTTTCAGTATACAACTTGCAGAGGACTATAGTGGTAGAAACTAGGATATGCAGAGTGGCAAGTATATGAGAAACCAGCAAACTGGATAGTTGGCATTTCTAGTTGGAACTGTTACGGATCTTGAACAGTAAAGGCTTTTTAGCAGGGAGTCTTTGTGTGGATGTAATTAAGAAAGGGAAGGAGAGTTAGGGTCACCTGGAAAGACAGATTGTTGGACTTGTATAGGTTTCCTCAAAGAAGGATTGCAACATTTTGTTGGTAAATTGTTTTATGTCCTACTGCTAAACCCAGGACTGGAAGGAAAGTTGAATGTATTTAGCATAACTCCTTGACTGGCCATGTCGTCTTGAATCTCTTCAGCTGGAATTCTCCTTAACCCTGCCCCAAATGAGTATCTAAATATAGCCCAGTTTCCTAAGAGTAGAGCATCTATGATGTCTGTCATTGGTATTAGGAAGGAGCAGAAACGAGAGAAGACACACAAGAAGATTGCTGGACTCTGTCCATACCCCTGCCGTAGCATGTGACAACCCTGCAACTGA